TTAGTTAATGGTAAAAAAAATTTTTATGTATATAAAGCAGAAATGAAATAAATCGAAAATTTCATTTTTTAAAAAAAAATCGGACGATACTTTTTGGGGGTACTGTACATGTATATACATGTACTACCCTCCATCAGCTTAAATGCATGTAGTACGTAATGGGTATTGTATGCAGTTCTCTATAATACATTTTGAAATTCAACTATAGCACGCTTTGTTTCATTGATAGTCTTTGAGCAAATGTACAATGAGGTTTTGCTATGGATAAAATTGTGGTTACCTGTTGACAGGCAAGGTAGAAGAATGATGATATTGGGAAGGGTGAGTCAATAGAAACCAAGCAAATTACATGTATATACGTACTACATGTATATATAATTTGCTTGGTTTCTATTGACTCACCCCCATACTACATGCTTAATTTACATTGAAAAGAAAATTAGGTTTTTAATGCTCTGCAAAATCGAAAATATTATTTAATACCACAAACTAATGCATTCGCGAAGAATTACGCCAAGTTGTAATATGTATTATAAACAACCACAACTTCATTCGATAACATAAACTTTGTCTTTTCGAATAAGTTTAAATTTCATATCGTATAATTAATTGCATTTAACCAAAGAAGTGAAAGATTTTGAATAAACAAAATGATTATTACAATTTTGCGTCTTCTACCCGTCAGCGACACTCGGAAATCTTTATATCTCTGGTGGAAGCGAGATACTTTGAAAATGTTTAAATTTTTTTTATTTCATTGGTGGTAAATTGATCTAAGTGGATTGTTTGATCAAAACAGTCGAATGTCAAATATCAAACAACACAAAGACTGAAAGCCCAGCCAATCTTCTTCGTAAACGATGAAGCGTCATTACATATACCGGAGAGAGAATAAGAATACTAATTAATTACCTCACGTGATACTTGTTCTTTTGCTTCGGCGATATCGAAAACCTGAACGCCTTCCACTTGATGAAGTACTGAATAATGATTCATCTTTCGATAAACATCAGCGCTCACCAGAAATTTATTTTCACCTGCGGAAAGAATTTGAAGTTGATGTGCCGACGTAGTAATAACTGTCGGTTTTGTTTCTCCCAACATGGTCAATGAGAAATCAAAATTTTGTCGAGTAGATTGAAAGTGTCGAAAATCATTGAGCTGAATTTCAATTAATACATGTATTAAAATGGATAGGATTAACGTACATGTAAATGCAATTGACAATCAAATTTTGAATTGTCGCTTTTTAAATTTCCAGCTGTAAAATTTTTTCGATTTGAGATAATAAATCATGAAATTTTGAGTTTATTGTAATATTCGATTTTCCCATCTTAAAATCGGCAATCCCAAAGATCTTAACATTTATGACGTGTGTTTTACTTTGATATAAGCGAGGCGTTCATCGGTCAAAATAATCGTGTACCACATATAAATTTTGACATGGCTGCGCAACAAAAGACCAATTTTTTTGACAGTCATCGGTAACGTGGTGTGCTATTTGCGGGTCGATGGTCTTCATTTTTTTATTTTAGCACTTCATTAATGTTATAAACAAACAGGATTCTGTCATTGTCTTCTTCTCGCTGGTATCATGTTAATTCATAACAAATAGTTGTTGGCGCAAGTAAGAATCGTTCTCTTGATGAGTTCTATCTTAAGTATCGATTTTTTTTCAAAACTCGTATAACTTTTTGGAGTTCAAAACGTAGACATTGCCATCACATTAATCAATCTTGGAGGTACCGTCAGCTACAGGACTAAATATTTTATTTGGAATCAACAATATATAATTAAGATCCAGAAAATATAGTGCGCTAAAACGAGTGCAACGAATTTTCGGTGAATAAATATAAATATACATACAGAAAAAGTTAGAGGTGGCCACGGAATGAGTATTTATATACATGTATACTGTAGATCCTCTTCTCGTTTTCGTAAACTATTTATTGTTCAATTAAGGTTTTATACGAGTGCAGCAAATTACGTACGTATGTACATGTATACGTACGTAACTACGTATATTGACATTACGTATTATGAAATAGTTGCAAGGGTTGCAACTATTGTAAAAAAGTGTTTATAACACTCATAAATATATAGAAATGTCAAAGACTATAAAAAATTCTATTTAACAGTCAATAAAGATCAAACAAATCAATTTTTAATAATTATAAATTCCAATTTAACATTTGTATTTTCTAAATGCAAAACATAAAGTTGATACATCAAGTTTCGTTAATATTTGTTATCTATCGATATCGCTATTTTATTTAGAAACTGATTTACACCATGAATAATTTGAGACTATGTTCATGATTAACAAAAGAGCTATGAAAAGAGCTTTACAATCACCAGTAGAAACAGCACTTTTATTAGATAGGTTAACGGATAGCATGAACATTTCATATACACGTGAAATAAAAAAACATATACATGTAGGGTTATTATAAATAGTTAGAAAGAAAACTCTTTTTGTCTAGGAATAAAACGAACGTTATAAGGTTTAATCCATTGTGCGATTCCAAAAGACACAAAGCTCTTTAAATCAATCGGCTCCGGTTTTGCTAGAGGACGCTCGATTTTAAAAGCCCAGAGGATAGAAGCAGCGAATAATTCGAGTTCTGTTTCGGCCTAATAAAAAATAAGATTCAAACCAAAATTCAAATTTTAATAAAAGTAATTTTGCTAGAAATGATTATATCACTAATGTACCAGACGAATGCCAAGACAAAGCCTTCGCCCGGCTCCGAAAGCAAATTGATCACGATTTTCAACATTTCCTTGTGCTAACGCAACCGCGCTTTCTTTCACGCCCAAATACCGATCCGGGTCAAATTTACTCGGGTTTGGAAATCGAGCCGGGTTCCAATTTAACGCGTACATGTTCATTGCCACTAAACTGTTTTTAGGGATATGGTAACCCATGTATTCATCGCCTTCTTCGATAAAGTGAGGAACTCCCATTACCAACTATCACGTTAATAATTAAATAATAATGAGAAATTGGTTAAACTTGATATAGACTTTTTGTTTTAATGTACCGGGGGAGCCCATCGCAAAACTTCTTTCACTATTGCACGAATGTATGGAAGTGATGCCAAGTCATTATATGTGGGGCGAGAATTTCCTACTATACGATCAAGCTCATCGTGTGCTCGAGTTTGAATTTCAACATCATTAACCACAGCAGCTATAAGAGAAGCCATTGTCGATGCAGTTGTTTCCTAATTAATTAAATATATTAAATATACTCAAATACTTATATAAAAGCAAGATAATAATAAACATACCGTTCCTGCAATCAGCAAATCCATTGCCAGATGAATGAGTTCCATTTCAGTGATAACACCTTCGTCTACTTTTTTCAATAAATCTTTAGCAAAACATGAAGATCTCATCTCCTCTCCACGATTAATCTTAACATCTTCCAGCAACGATCCCATCACAGATTCCCACTCATTTGCTGAATCTTTAGCACTCTTATGCAACCACCGATTCTTCAAAATAGTTCGAAAAATTGGAAAAACATCAAAAAGTCTTGCTTTTGTGCCTGTATATTCAAAAGATGTTCGAATCAACTTGAGAATTGTGCGGTACAATGGATCAGCCATCCCTTTTGTCTTTGTACCAAAGACCACGTTTAGGATTACATTGAGTGTCGTATAATGCAATTGGTCACGTGGGAAAAATCCATCAGTTTGTGATTGAGACTCTTCAGCTAAGATTTTTAGTAATTCGTCGCGGCATTCGTATATAAAATCCATGTACTCTTCAATTTTTTGTTGGCTAAATACTCCGTGTACTTTTATTAGGCGAAAAGAGTTAATGAGTCAATATTTTATCATTGTCATTATGATTATAATTTACCTAATGGCATCATGTGTTTGAACCATTCATGATACGGTGCCGCGATGTAATCTTTTTTACGTCCAAAAACTTCCCAGAATAGAAAACTTTGTGATCTAGACGAATATTTTAAGCCTCCTATTCGATTTTTATTTAGCAAAGTTAATTCCTCTTCAATCGGAATTCAGCGTTAATAAAGAGAAACCGGATAAGGATTGAATAAAAAATACTTTTTAGAAATAGGTCACCGACGTATTTTTGGTTGTTCAAAATGACTATAGAAGATTTCCCAACACGTAGCATGAAGATATCGCCAAGAGTTTTTTGCCACTCTAAGCATCTTTTATCAAGCATAGTAGATATTAGAAAGAAAGAATTAAAAATAATGATTATTGTTAAAAGAAAATACCTTTGATGAAGTCCATGACCAGTCAATAACGCGTGTCCTAAATAAATGTTATAGAAAATTTAAAACCAATTAATTATGATGATTGTATCGAATATCCTTCAAGCAATATACCAATAAGTGGCATTTTTCCCGGTGGTTCAGGAAGCGGCATCAATCCATTCAGACAATTTTTTTGCGTTGATGATTTCTTCAAGTAAAAAAATACGAGCAACACCGCTATTACGATATAGAAAATCATTTTTATCAAGGCTCAACACTTGCTATACTAGTCTATTTATGGAAAAACGATTTACAGATACAAATAAATGGTCTAATGAGAGTAAAATATCGATATCACACACAACATTTGTTTACCGTTACTGTATTTAAATAAACATTGGCTACACACAATGTTCGATGGGCAAATGACAGTCATAAAAATTTTTATGAAAATGACATACCGATACATACGTAGAGATTCGGGCTAAACCGAAATGGTCCTAAATAAATTTAGCCCAAACATATCAAAAACCGTAATTCCGAAAGTTCGAATATAATCCGAAATATCTGATATTATCCGATATTACCCGATATTATCCGAAATGTCCGATATTATCTGATATTATCTGAAATATAGAAATTTGGGCTAAATTATTTAGTAAATTATTTTTATTTATAAACTAATTTTTTTTACAAATTCTACAAGTTCTAAATTATTTTAATTTATCTAATATTTTGTCCAAGTTCTAGATATTTTGCCAGGTATAAATATTTAATTTAGCCTTTTGTGTCCTACGTAAAGTTCTAAATTGTTCTAAACTATCTATTCAGTAAGTTCAAAATATTTGATATTATTTTATTTTTATTTCTCTTAAATTATACTTTAAATAAATTCTCTTTTAGATAATAGATTGCATTATAATATTGCTCTATATAGTCTAAAAATGTATAAGCATTCTCAAGAATATTAATAAAAGTCCAGAATTAATTCTTTTTCAAGTAGATTTGTAAAAATTATATTAATTGTAATTAGATTCTTTATCCAGAAAATGCATTGATTAGATATTAATTGATTGATTAAAAGCACTTTATTGTCAAATAGTTTAAAGCTTTTAGTTAGGAAAAAAGCAATACTTAAAAAATATAATATCAATAAAAAATTCATTATATAAAATATAGAATTCCAAATCATTTTATTTTAAACATAAAAAATTCAATTATTATATTGAGTAACACTATCACAAACTTTAGAAATGTTTAATTATATATAATCTACCTACAACAATATATATGTAAATGCTATATATTTATAATATATATATACTTAAGTTTTATATAATCAATGTCAAAAATGATAATTTGCAATAACTTGTAATTATTTCAATAAATATTTTTCTATATATTTATTTGCAGTCTCTTGAGAATTTTATTTACATTTATATTATTATAGTGTTCTTATGAACCGAACCGAACCGGACTTTTGCCTGAGTTCGAGTTCAGTTCGAAATTCGAATCGAACTCGAACCGGACTTTGACTTGAGTTCAAGAAAGGTTCGAAGTTCGAACCGAACTCGAACCGAACCGTTATACGAGTTCG